GAGAAAACAGTAGAAAAAACACACCATAATTAACAGCTGATAGTTTCCTTATATGGCTTTGCAGGATTCAATCTTACATCATATCACATCAATCGATTCAAATAAGAAAAAACTGATAACAAGTAATACATGTATTTTTTTTTGAACAAAATTAATGCTGCCAATAACAATGTAAATTCACATATATACTAAGAGTTTGTTCATAGTTTTGAATACATCTTTTTTTATTAATTTAGCATATAATTGGCTATTTTTTTTTCAATCTGAAATTAGAACAAAAAAAGACAGTTGATTTCAGATCGATATGGAGATCTGAAATGGTCTTTAGTATCATTCAAATCATTACATATGAATATTTTTCTCCTTTTTTCGAATGGGAGGGACTAGAGAATCTTCACAATTATTCACATATTTTTACATATATGCACCCGTTTCAAAAAAAAGGAAGGAGGGGATGGGACAGCACGATGTGTTGTCATCTATACTGTCATCTGCTTATTCCTAATTATGGTGTGTTTTTTCTACTGTTTTCTCTCTCACGTTGTATCATTTTGTTCGCGATCATTATTCCGATAGACTTTCTGTTTGAATTAACTAGTCTCAGAGAGAATTATAAAGTGATGAGTTGTAATTGTATGCTTGCAAGTTTCTAAGTTGTGACGTTGTCTATTGACCAAAGTCTTATAGTTATAAAGCAATACATTTTTATATTATATTTATTTGCTTGTCTCTCTCTAATATAAATTATCAAGACAGTATTTATTAAATTTATTGATATTAGTTATCTTGTATCGAGCTTGCCACACATCTGGACATCTCAGGGGATATATACATATATATTCATATGAATAGTTCTAAATATCCTCTAGTTCTTTCATTCAAAAAACGGATCTATATAGCTACATATAACAATAAGTAACTCTGAAGACTTATGAGACTACGTTGTGGAAATAGAGGCATGAGAAGTCTGCAAGTGATTAGCTATTAATCACTTACTCGAAACACCTTATAACATATGTAAACGTATCGTTGATTGTAATTAGTGGGAGTTGTGATATGCTTTATGCATGATAAGACCTTCTTCTGTCCAGAAGAAGGGTTGTTTCAGTGGACCCCATAAACCTCCGTCATTGGAAAAATTCAAGCGTTATTTTTTCAAAACTTAGTTTGAAATCAAGAAAACTCCATACACTCTAATTTAGATACCAAAATTGAGGAAAATAGAATACTATCAATCTCAAAAATTAGATGTTGCAGCAAGTACACATATGTTGCAGCTATTGAAAGTGTTCAAGTTCCTGAATCATAATTGAACACAAGCGAAGATAATTTTACATTACATTTAACTCTTCAACACACCATTAGTTTACATGTGAATACAGTGGACAAAGATAATCTACAACATAAAATGTTGATAAATCATGAGTTTTAGTTGTAATCCATCTAATACACAAGACCATCTATGTATTTTTAGCTTCAACTGGAAATTTATCAAGTCACTTGTTGACAAAGATACTCAGAGTGAATTTCTTGAGAAATGACATCTTGTATTTATATTTAGATGTTTTTTTGATATATCAAAAAAAAACTAATTTGAATGGATAAATCAAAATAAGTGTTGATGAAACAATATCAACTGATGATATTCAATGATTTCATGTTTTATTAATAGTAAAAGCTAATGAAACGAATAAAGGTGATGATATAGTTAAAAGATGTTTAACTGAAATTGGTAAAAAATTACTAGGTGTTGGAAACGAATATTTTTTTGACTTTTGTTGACAAATATGATGATGATGATGATATTGAAAAAATTCAAGGAAAACTTGAGGCAAATTCTTATCAAACAGCTACAATTGGAACACATACAATTCAAGTCGATCGTATTGTTGGTAAAAGTAAATATATTATGGTTAACCATGATCAATGTCGTGTAGTTATTGGTTATGTACTCAAATCAACATCGCAATTTGGTGATGTACAAAATATGTTCAATGTTACTAAAGACGCTTCATTGTCTGTTGTTGTTGAAAATTCTAACATGATAAGTACACCTATATGGGTGATCTTACTTAATCTGAAAAAACTGAATCTCCTCGAGAAATTCAACAAAAATTTAGTTCATGCCAATGGTTACCAGGTTTATGTGAAGTTTTTTCTTTGTTTATTATAAGTGAAGTTTTATTTAACTTATCTTATCTGAACTAGAAATGATCGATATTCCTGATTGTGAAATGACATGGATTAGTTCTTCAATTGATATTCTTCAAAAATTATTAGATAAAGTTGGTCGTGAAATAGAAGAAGAAGAAGAAGAAGAAGAAGCCAATCTTGAAATAAGAGCAACTAAAATTACGAAAGATATTCAACTAGATGAAAAACAGTATTCAATACAATCATTTATCGAAAGACAATAGTTAAAAGCTGAAGATGTGTCTTAAAAAAGATGAAAAAGAAAATGAAACTGAAGAATAAATTATATAAACTCGTTTCATAGTTAAAACAAATATTAAATTTATATTGTGTGACAAATTTTCATTTATTTTATTTGCCAACTTACATTTTCTTTTGATCATATACATAATAGAACTAATGATGTAGCCTTAAATAATGATATATGAGATGCTTCTTTTGTGAACAGATGTTATTGTTTATTTTTCTAAATAAAGAAAAATATAGGCTCACTCTCAACATGGATACTTTTAACGAAGAAATTCTTCTATTTAAATCTTCAAAACTATCAAAATACTTGTTAGTTAGTCATTTACATTGAATATGTTTTCATTAGTAGCTATTTAATCTCTAATACTATTTAAAGATATTAACCTTGTGAACTTGAATGCAAAATATCAATTATTTAAGTAGCTGCTCTCCTTGTGGCAACATTTGGTTTGTTAATCTTTATCATATTATGAGTACTTCAAGGCTTTTTAAAAGATTTACTAACTATTGAGGAAAAAAGAAACATTCAGATTTAAAATAGTCAGTCAAAAAAAAAAAAGAAAATAGGAAATTCTGTTCACAACGAATCAGCGACTTAAATAATCTTAAATATATATACATTTTCTTAGAATAGCTGGCAAGTCTTTTAAATAGCACTACATTCCAAGTAACTATTTGAATTAAATAGCTACGATAATTTTATAAAAGCATCACATTTTTAATAACTATCAAGATGTTTTTTCAAAAGCTACATTTCTTAGCAGCATAGCAGTCGAAATGACTGCATTTAGCAGGACTTCACTCTTTAGATGTACAACATCCATTTTCTCACTAATAACAGAAAAACTTCTAAAATAAAATAGATATTGTTAAAGCTTGCATTCGAGAGGTTCTAATAAAGTAAGCTACCTGGCTTCATCTTTTTATACAAAAATCAGATAGGTTTGTTAACTTGGATATTAGCGAATCTTGGAAGGAGTATTTGACATACCCATTCTGGACAGACACTTGCCTTTAAAATCGATAAAATATACATGTTATACTCAGCTTTAGACGGCAAATAAGAAAAACATATGACTTAAAACATCTCTGCAATAAAATTAGTGAAAAACTTGAATCTTTCTCAAATTAGTGATTTTTGTCTAGTTTCACATCTTTCAAGTATTTTCGAGTTCGCTCTCTTAGACAACAATAGAGAAAATCCAAACGCACATCTTACTTATCAGCGTACCAAACTCTATGCAACAATGTGTCTGCCACTCGAATGTCAAATTGTTTGCACTTTAATGTTTTTTTTTCTAGATTTCAATTTTAGTGAAGGTTGTTTAAAATCTTTGCTATAACTTTTATTAGCAATTATCACGCCAATTTGGTTCTCATGCAATCATCGGATAATTTATTTAGTTCTTTGAGACTATTAACTAACAGTACAATATACACTAGCTCCAATCTAAAGTCCTTCATAAAAATAATCTAAGCATCTTGCATTCATGAAAAAGTCATTTGAATAAACAATTTGTGTGATCATGAACTGAATTTCAAATTTAAGATGATGCTTTTGTATACATTAACTCTTGTATGTTGGACTAAATTATGGATGATGAATCGAAGGATACAAGTATGAATATAAATGAGATCGAAGAAGAGAAAAATAATTATATCAGTGAAAATCTACACAAAACAAAACTTGAGAGTAGCATAAGTTTCTTATCAATTAAATAAAAGAAGAAAGATGTGCTTGGACGAAATATTTCTTAGCTATGAAGAAATATTCATGATGGCTATATAAACTAAAACGCAATCATACATAAGTTCGATATCTGAATATTGAATAAATTGGCTTGCGATTTTTTCCGAATTTCAATAGAAAAATTCTGGTTTCCGATATTGTTTTTTATTTGGCAACTCTGTACAACACATACATTCCAAAATTTAAAAATCAAAACATTAAAATGTATGCATATATTATTTTGTTTAAAGCTGATTTTTTAATAACAAAAAAAAAAGGCAATTTTGTAAACACTCAACATTCTCTATAAGCTAATCACATCAAGAGTTTGTTTGTCTAAAAAAAATCGATTTTCTAGAAAATCAATCTATGAAGACCTAAAGAATCTGTTATGGTCATATCCAGGGGCACCATGATGAATACTCCGTAATCCAGTAGCTTTTTGTAAACAAAAATAATCCGTTGAAACATTTCTTTGATTAGCTCCACATCGTGCAACATATTTATCAACAGCATCTCATACAGCTAATCTTTTCTGTCAAAAGATTTCTAAGGAATCACTTGTCATCGTCTAAGTTTTTATCCTTTCCTCAATCTATTATCAATTCATATCTGATTATTCCAAACTTGAGTATCAAACAATTCAATTAGTACACACCAATAGATTAAACTCTATCGAAATTTCCATTTTATGCATGAATAAAATAACATATATTCAATTTGAATACTAACTCATATGTGTCACGTGTACATTTAAAACTTTATTAAATTATTTGTTTGATTCAAAGAAGTTCTGATGATGTTATTCAATAATAATTAAAAAGCTTACACCAAATAACATGATTCTATTCATTTTGTAAATAAACGTCATTGTTGTAGACATCAAGATGTAGTTGAAAACCAATTTGTTTCCTTTTGTTTGTATTCATAAGTATTTAGATATTCATAAAAATTCATGATTAGCTGGTGTTGATAAATATTCATGTGTCATCAAGTTGAAAATGAGAAAACAAATATCGCGGAGCAAGAAAGAAATATGTCATTATGACAATATGGTATAAAAGTTTTCTTTTTTTTCCAATTCTCTTCTGTTGACACGGTATGTGTAAAACATTAATTGATTTCACAGTTTCTACTAAAAAGAAGTGCTAACTCCATTTTTTCCATTATTAACCACGCAGAAAAACATCCATTATATGTTCTCGTTAGAAAAATAAAGAAAAAAAAGTTAGATATTATATAAACAAAACTCGATGAAATCCGCTTGAAGATGGTAATCTATCGAGAAATATTCTAGTTTTTCATAGAAATAATTAATTTATAAATTTATAAAAATCAAATCATCGTAAAAGAAAAACACATAGTTTTATTCGGATCAGACGTTTGTTTGCTTATGGGAAAAAAAATCATCAATATTTAACTATTATCTTAACAAACGTTATATTTGTCAACTAGAAATTTTCTTCAACCTGCTTGTTATTTTCTCAACATTGTATACGTATTATTTCATCGATATTTTTATATCTGTTGTTAGCCTTGTATTTAATGATATACATACTCGAAATATTGTGATCTATTACAAATGAAGTAACTAATTTTCTTATGTAAGTAATATCATGTTGCTTTTGTCTCTTCCTCTTTCTCTATAGGAGACATCATTAATAATCTCAGTATTCAGAAGAAAACAAATCATCGTAGATTAATACGATATTAATTCATTCAATCCGTAGTATATCGAATAAAAAGATGTATAAAAAAATGACAGAAGATTTTTAACATATTTATTTATTAATCATTGTTTATTCATTGAATTGCATTTGTTCATTTTTCATATATTGGTATTTGTGATCTAAAGATCTGACTAAACCGATAAAAGCAGAACAGAACAGGAAATTATCAGCCTTAATTTATTTATTTTCTCTGTGTTCTTTTATTGCGAACATTTCTCGTTCGATTATATCTATACAAAGAAAAGAGACCACAGTCTGGATACGATTGCTAGATAGAACAGTAAGGTCATCTTTTTCAGATTGTCTATATCTTAGTTAGAATGAATTATGCTTTTACCCAAAGCTACAATCAACAACAGCAACAAGAAGAATATCGTACCAGATGCTTGCTGATTTATCTGACTTTCTTCTAGATTATAAGTGTTTTCATTCGCTTGATAGAAAACCAGTCAGTTGTTAACGAATACTCTAACTTTTAACATCTCTCTCTCTCTCTATAATTATTTCGAGTTATCGATCTTATAAACTTATCATGTGTGGGAGAATAATGTACGTGTTAGGGATCTGGCCATTTCCCATCATTGATTATTCTTTATTCTAAATTCTTTATCATAAGTAATCGATTCTTGCGACAATATTCATTGTATGACTGAAAGAACATCGTTGAGATTGATAAATTTGTAAGTTTTTCATTTGTTGAAAGAAAAAAAGTCAAACAATTGTTCTTTCCGGAAAAAATGACGTTTCGATCAAATAAACAACAAAGAACAAAATTGCCTTCGGTTGTCTTCGATCCAGTTAAACAATAAAAAAAAGTCAATCTTTACACTTTCACTAGTAAGTAAATCATCCGTTGTAGGATTATTTGTTTCCTCTAACAATGAGAATAGCATTCATCTAATTTCTTGTTCCTGTGTTTTCTTTCATCAAAAAAACAAAAAAAAAGAAAAACATCATTCATTCTATTAGAACCAACATAAATGAGAGGTAATGATGAAATTTATCACATATAATAATAGCACTATGATATCTTTCTATTTATATTTTACAATAAAAACAATAAATCTAAGATGTTAATTTCGTTTCTAATATTAAGGTACTAATCTTTTAGTTTAAAAACAAACAACAAATTGTTAAATTGACTATACAGATGAGTTTTAATCAGTATAAACCAGATGCATGATGATTCTAGATACGTGATTTATGTGTATGCAGAAACAGTCTATAAAGAATATCAGTAAATGCAGATGGAAAAAAACAAAGGTCAACTAAGGGAAGTCATTTAATGCGTCACTGATAGCAAGACGATCGGAAAATGTTTTTATTCATAGAAATTGAATGTCATAGAATAGATAAATGATATCATATTCAATATATTTCTTTTCATTTCCCATTTTCACTACTATTTCGTTATAGATTTTTTCTAACATGAGTCAGAATAATATTAGTAGTAATCTTCAATTTAATGGTACATTTTATCAAAATAATTCCAGCGCTTCAATGCTAAATGAAGGTTTAATTCGTATTGAAATAACTCAATTTATACAAAAAGTGAATTTTTGGATAGCAATTGTGGAAATTCTTATGGTTATATGTGGAATATTAGGTAATGGTCTGGCACTTATTGTCATAAATCGCCGTTCATTACGTGATACATCATCAAGTGTATTTATAACATATTTAGCAATATTTGATATATCGGTTCTTGTTGTTCATATAACAAATTTAGCAATATCACGCTGGATTCAATCATATATATTACATTGTTTTCTCGCTTATTTAACGGATCTTGTTACATTTTGTAGTGTTTGGATTATGGTTATAATGACATTAGAACGCTGTGTAGCAGTACACTCACCATTTTTGGCCAAACGTTTTTGTACAAGAGAACGTGCACGGTATTCAATATATATTCTTATAGTTGTTGCATTTGTTTTATTTTCATCAACATTCCCTAATATATATACAATAGATAAAATTCAACAAAAATGTACCGTTCGTCATCAATATCAAAAAATAATACGGATTATAAAACCAACAATATTTTATTTTGTACCCGATATACTTTTATTAGCAAATATATTTGTCATATATGAATTATTTATAGCTTCACGACAACGTACAAAAACATTAATGAATCCTGAAAATGCTGTTCATCAATTAAATGCTATTTCATTTAATAGAAAACAACGACAATTAACAATAATGCTGGTTACAGTTTCATTAAGTTTTTATTTATTTACGACACCAGCTATTATTGATTATATTCGTCAAATGAATCCACCTAAGAATTACCATGTCAAACGACTTAAATTACGTTTTTTATTGATGAATTTATCTGTTCTTTGGCTTCAAATGAGTTCAGCAGTATGTTATTTAAGCAAATGAAAAAAAGATTCTTCTTCATGTTCTTTTTTCTTTTAATTTAGACAAATTTTTTATTTTATTGTTTGGCTGGTTCAAAATTTCGTGCAGTTTGTCTTGAAACAATTGGTGATATTTGTGATTTTCTCCAAATTAAATCAAATAATAAGGATAATCTTGTTCGACGACGGCTACAACGTCGACAAAATAAAAATGATATTCGTTTAAAGTCATATTTTCGTCGCGATGATCGTAATGGACGTCAAAATGATCCCAACAGACGTCCATCACCTTCTTTAACACAAACATATACATATCCATTAAGTAATTCATCAAAACGAGCTAGCAGTGAAACGATTATCAGTACACAATTGAACAGTAGACGAACATCGAAAGTCGTATTTAATGCAGATGATACTTAATATATTGATACATATCCAACAAAATAAGTTGATTAAAAATGTCTCGGATTTTTTATACAAGATCATTTTGAGTATAAAGAAATATGTTTCTTATCTATGTACAAAATTGTTTTCTTTCTTATTAAACNGAGGGTATTTGTGTGGATCTTTTCAACACTCACACACATGCATATCCACATCCACACCGACGTCCATCACCTTCTTTAACACAAACATATACATATCCATTAAGTAATTCATCAAAACGAGCTAGCAGTGAAACGATTATCAGTACACAATTGAACAGTAGACGAACATCGAAAGTCGTATTTAATGCAGATGATACTTAATATATTGATACATATCCAACAAAATAAGTTGATTAAAAATGTCTCGGATTTTTTATACAAGATCATTTTGAGTATAAAGAAATATGTTTCTTATCTATGTACAAAATTGTTTTCTTTCTTATTAAACCAATGCTCTCAATTCGAGTTTACCTTTGTCATTATCATAATAAACAGAAGTGTTCCTATTATTAGATTCTTTTTTCTTCATTCGATTCAAAATTTGATTTGAAATAGAAACTGACGAAGGAAAACAAAATCTTATATAGCGTTTTATTAAATAAAAGTAAATGTGTTGGGATAGGTTTTGAATAATATTGTATAATGAGTTTAAGGAATTGGTTTGTTTGAAGTAGGGTTGTATTATTATCGAGAAAGACTTCAATTAAGGAAATGAAGAACTTACAAATAATTTATGATTTTGTTCATTTTTTGGTTTATGCATAGCGGATTTTAGATGCTGTCAAAAGCAGGAAACGGAAACAATCAATATTTGTTACGTTTGAATGTTTTCATTGCAATTTAGATTCATACTTGTTTTTGTGCATAAATGTTTCGCTTGTCAGTTTTGTATGATACATATTAGTTTTACTTGTAGAAATAAACTAAATGTTTGCATGAAACTAATTTTAATTATATATTTTTGCACATTCATACATTTAGAAACGAATGTTTTTGCTTTGACCATGTTAAACTCAAATTTCAGATGACTTCGTTATTATCGAAATTGAAATTTTAGTACGCTTATGCTCTTTGATCTCTGATCTTGTGACTGAGGATCATATGTCTCCAGATAAATTAACTTCTCAATTATTTACTATTGACTTTATATAGAATTCGAAACAGACGATTTTAACTTTGAAAATTTTCTTGTGCTCTTTCGAACATCTGTCAATTAATTTACAACGTGCACTCGCACGTTTATAATAATATATTGTTTCACAAAGCATACTCTTCAGATGTCAACTATTACTAACGCTTAACTCGCCATAACGATTCCAAAAGTCACTGATGAAACAATCATTGGATAAAATATGGGGTGTAGATGAAATATCAATTGTATCGACAGATTCATCAGACGCATTCTCGTTTGTGACAGCAGTTTGATCATTCTATTGATCATTGGATTGAAAACCACTTAACAAAAATTATATAGGAGACTTTCCGTAAATCTGATGTAACGGGTGACCTATAATAAATGGCAGAAATTTGCAATTTTTTTTGAATCATCTAATACGTTTTATTAAAACACAAATTATGCCACAAGATACAGCGTGAAAAGCTCTATAATTCACACAACAACGCTGATTTTATAGTTGCACTTTTTATTTTCAAAATGAACAAAATATTGAGCGATCAAATTTCAATCGTGCGAAAATTGGTCACGCCGAGCTTTGATTTTTTTTGAACACAATTACAATAAGCTTTACTTTGTTGATTGTAAAACTTTTTACGCTGCATCTTGTGATACATTCTGCTTTTTCATAAAGCGGATTTAGGGACTAAAATATGAACTGAAAAGTTCTGCCATTTATTATGAATCATCCGTTACTTCAATCAGAAAACGTCGTAGAGAGCTTGAGCACATCTCATTTTGTAGAGAATGCTTTACTCTCTCATTTCGTGTGATGCGAGTATATTTTATACTCGAGTTGTAGCCGTTGAAACACTAATGGTTTTGTTTCCTAGAAAACTCGTAGTGACCATTCTGTTCTTTACTATCTTTTCTCTAGCTAGCTTTGGCAAAAACTTTCAAACGGTATTGATATCAGTAGTAGACTGTCATCATTATCTATTACATAATAGTGGATGACCCAGATAAAACTGAACACTTTTACTTTTTGTCTTTGATATGTTTTAGAGTAACGTTTAAACTTGCCGTTGTGCTTATTTGACGTAGAATTTATTTCTGCACAAAACTGGCAGCGGCGTTGTTTCAAATGAAATCCCCTTGTTCGCGGAAAATTTTTAAAATTAAGGAGGCTACCACTCAGAAAACTCAATTTTCGTCAAAAAAATTGATTCGTGAGATAAACCTGTGAAGAGGTTGTCTAGTGTTCGAATTCATTAAAAAACTGGTTTCAGTTTTTAAGGGTTTTTTTTAGGCGGGGGGGGGGGGGGGGGGTGGTATGAATGACCTTAAAAACTATCTGGACAAATAATGATGTCTAGAGCAATCAGTAAAATTTATTTTTTAGCTTTAGAATTACAAAAAACAAGGGCTATTTCAGAGATAATCAAATATTGTGCATCTTAGAAACACAACTTTGAGATCTATAATGACGTGAGGGTATTTGTGTGGATCTTTTCAACACTCACACACATGCATATCCACATCCACACCAACGTCCTATCAACTTTAAAAAGAACTGAAGGACAACAAGCGAATTTAAAAAATCAAGTTATTATTCCTCTGTCTTTATTACATTGGTGAATCGTATAATAAATATAAAAGCAATGGTAAGTAACATCATCGATTGTTATGCATTTCATACAAGGACAATCTAATGTGTATAGGCAAGTGCTTTGATTGACAAGTGATATTTTTATGTCTCAAAGTAATAGTATGAAGACTATAAAAAAAAGAACTCTTTTACGCTTTTCTCAAAATTGATTTTTTCATTAATGATCAAATTGCAGGCAAATTTTTTCTCAATATACTTCGTGCTAAGGAATTTTGATTTCTTTTTAATCAATAGATGCATACATAGTTCTTCAGATGAGGGAAAGGGATTTTCTAATTAATCTTCAATGCTAAATTAATCCTGAGCTTTTCAGAGGACTGTGTCGAGAAATTCTAGGTTTTTTAAGTTTCAATTGTCGAAAAAATGAAACAGAGTAAAAATTCTTTCGTTCATCCGAAATGATCAGAAGTTCTCTTTCAAATGAAAGCAACCAATCCTCTGTAGCTAGATCTCTGGAAATCTCGTGAACGGTAAAGTATACAGACGTGAAACATTTTTTCATTAATGTACCTCTATGAGTCAAACTTCTATGCAATGTTTCATCAATATCTCATGTACCCTGCTGAAGTTAGATATTTTAGTGGAAATGGCAGGGCTCCTCAAAAGCTGCTCAACTGTCCAATTGCGAAGAATAAAAACCAAAAAAAGTAATAACAATATATAATAAGTCCCACTGAAATGTTAACTAAGCCACAATATTCTCCCTAAAATTCTGCATCTACTGATATGCATTTCAAAATGTTATAAATAATATTTGTGAGAAAATTTTGTGAATTGACAAAAGTGAAAACACGAAACAATATTTTTTCTGCTCAATAGTTGTCATTTGGTTTTTTTTACATAGGAATTACATCACATTTTTTACTGTTGAAATAAAGTCATATCCGTTTCTTCAGAATTAAATTCTGCATTCGATGAAATGAAAACGAACGTCTCATCAACTAGATGTGACTTTGGAAAACACGATTTTCAATAATGCTTCTAAACGAATCGACAAGTGTTAGTCCTAAGCTTTTTTCTCTGTGAAGGATAGGCATCAGATCATTGAAAAGGTCATAGAAGCCTGCAGCAAACAACTCTCTATCTTTCATGTAAACTATTTTACTTTTGGCATCTGATTTGATGAGAATAGAGTTACATAAATCCATCCATGTGTTCAAAAAAAAAACGAAATCGCAATTAGATGATTGAGAAGTGCGTAATTGTTTGACTTTTGCCCAAACAAGGTAAGTTCATTTAAAAACTAAAGTGACCGGTTTTGTAGAGAACTACATTCCACAACGCATAAACTCAAAAGCAGGTTGTAATGTTACTTAAAAATGCCTTAAAGACAGAAAACAAAAACAGTTAGTTCTATCTAGGCCACCCGTTACATTCCCATCGCATGCAATGTTTATTGATAGAAAAACACTTTATTTTTAAAAAATTTGAACTTTTGCAGCTTTTTCAAATTTATCAATTTTGTCACTCATCCTTTTCGAAAACGGAGTAACACAAGAGAAAATAATTTCTTTATTACTTGATAGTTTATGGAGTTCCATACAAGAAAAATTTCCACTTTCTTTATTCTGTTTCCTTTACTGTTCAGCAATTGATTTAGGAATGGTCACTCGGGTAATTAAGACGGAGTATATGGTTAACGATTGTAACAGACTTTCTAAATATAAAAATCAGCAATACTAACTTGTCAGTCAAAGTTTATGAAATCTTATGTCATCCATATTAACAAAAACAATCGTGAAATATTTTTCAAATCAAAATTGTTGTCAAAAACAAAGAAATTTTTTTATCCATAATTTTCTAAAAGGTTTTACAAATTCAAGATTTTAGCACAATGATGTTCTTTTAAAATCATTTTCCCAGTTTTTTTTCGGCATCAATAACAATAAAGAGAAAGAAAAAAAAGATCGACGGCAAGTCCAAAAACAAACAACAAAAGAAAGTTTCTTTGTTTGCAACAAATAACAATAACCATGAAGACGAAACTACCAAGAACACACATACACAATCACCGTTGACATAACATGTTAAAAAATGAAAAGAAAAAGTAGAAGAACATCGCACGTCGAATAAACAAATATATTTGATTTGTTTTCAATGTTTATTTATCTATTGAGCTTTTTTTGTTGGTTTATCTTTTGTTACTAATGATTCATATTTGCTTTTGCTTTTAAACCACAGGAAAAATGGAAAAACAATACATGGACTAGCCATAGCAGTAAAAAGAACCCAATCAATCTAAATGAAAAAAAGAATTATTATCTGTTAGAAATTTAAAAAAATCAGATATATACAATATGTGATGAAAATCGTCGATCATATTCACGAGCTGTCATTATATAAACATCACCAATTTCAGATGAATAAGTTTTCTATAAAAAGAAAAAAGAAAAAAGACCAAATATAATGCAAGATTAAACTCAATTGTTAATACAAATCTGACATGTACTTCTATATAATAGATATATGTACTAAACTTTATTGTATAACCCATTACTGACCGTGAAACATTACGAAGTTATTTGTTAATAATACGCTATTGAATTCTTGTAAGCAAAGCTCGATACTCACATTATATGTATTTAATAAAATTCCTAATGTCGCTCAAACTAAGTCATCTCTTCACCATTTATGATACGAAACTAAGCTTAAACTTTCTCAAGGAAACGTACACAATGCGTTATTATTTTTTTTTATTCACAAAGTTATTTTCTATGACTCTCTATGTGACTTGTCGTTTTATTCGAAGAGAAAACATCAGAAAGTTCAGTCTTCAAGTTTACTGTTTTCTTCTCGGTTTCATGAGGGCATTCTGCTTCGAACCAACAACACCTTATACACAAATGGGTCTAACTGACAGGGCACATCAAAGAGTGTAGGTATCGCTGATCTGAAGAAATACCGTTATCTGTTTATTTAGTGAAACTTAAATGGAGGATGACTAACATTGAAATAGCTATGTTTGAAACATGTCTATTATCTTACTTGAGTATCAGTATTTTTTTCGCTCTTTTGATATGTGACAACAGCATGCGAACTGTTACTGATACCACTTTGTTTTGGTTTAAGAACAATAACATGAGTTAAATTAGTTCCTCTAAATAAAAACATATTGTATGACAATATAGATTAAAACATAAAACTTACGCATTAATTCGTTCCCATTTAGGAGTAAGTGTACCAACAAGTAATTCATATTTATCAGATGGATAACTTTGAACATCATTTAGATTAACATTAAAAATTGTCCTAAAATAATTAAAATAATAACAAAGACAAAAAATTGGGGAAATATTCTTTTTACGTTGGACCAGAGTTGTATAATGCATATTTAATAGTTAATTCTTTATCTTGTACAATAAATCGATTAACTGTTTGTTTTGTAACAAATAAAAATGATTCTTCATCATCTGTTTGACTGAATACAACAGATATTAATGCAAGTAATATCAATGGAGTCTTGATAAACATTATTATCGATCTGTGAAAAAAAAATGAATAAAAAAGCGATGTTATCGTTTTATTCTGACTACTTTCTACCACCACGTAAACGAATGAAATGAACCAATAGGGAATAATGAAATAAAGATTAAAACTTAAGCATAAAATTTCTTAATAAAAATCAATAAATTCAAAAAAAACCTTAATTTTTCAAAACAAAACTTAACTTTTTATGTATTACTTAACAAGAAAGATGTCACTATGCAAAATAAATTTTTCATTGTGCATTGAGATTAACAATTATGATCGCTATATTCAATGTTATTTTATTAAGCGATTGTATCTTGCATATGGATCACTAATACAAAACAAAAAATTTTGCTTAGCAAAATAAAATTTCAACTCAAGTAAAAATCACATGAACTTTGTATTAGTAAAAAAACGTCCAAAATCAACAGAAATAACTCATTTATCAAATGTTAATAGAAATTCATCTGTTTATCATAAAGATTTAATATGTAGGGTTTGTGAAGCACCAGCAACTGGTTTTAATTTTGCTGTGATAACATGTATGTGCTGTAAAGCATTTTTTCGTCGTAATGCATTATTTGGTATACAATCGTTACAATGTCGATATTTATCCGAAAATTGTATTATTACTATGAAAACACGTCGTGATTGTTCATATTGTCGTTTAAAAAAATGTTTTCAAGTTGGAATGAAAAAAGAATTAATATTAACCGAAGAATTAAAACGTTTAAAACGTGAAAAAATTCTTGAAAATCGTCAAATAACATTAAATATAAGTCATTCAATTGATACATATGATATGAAAGAAAATTTTCTATTAAAAACTATTGATTTTGATTGTATAACAAATATTTGTAATGCATATGAAGAATGTTGTCGTTTACCCTTAATATCATTTGAAAAACATGAATATGAATTACTTCGGCAACAACCAATTAAATCAAGAATTAAATTACAACATTATTTTCGATATTATAAAGAACATGAAACCTTATTAATCAATTTTTTTCAAAATTTACCTGAATTTAATCAATTTTCAAATGATCAACAACTAGCATTAAGTAAACATAATATACGATTTTTAATTCGAATTAGTTTAATTGAAACCATAAATGATCAATTACCATTATGGCCTGCAATTAATTTATTACTCGAAATAATATTTGGAAAATCATTAGTTGAAGAAGCAAATAGTTTATTACATAAATTTAAAGATAAAATAAATGATTCAACATGTATTCGATTATTGTTAATAATTTTACTTTTTTCAACTTATGATACATATAATGGTCATACGGATACATTATGTATATATAAAACTCAAGAAAAATATACTAATTTATTATGGTTTTATTTAATAAAACATTATGGAGAATTAACAGCATACAAAAAAATTTCAATAGTGACATATTATTGTTTACATTTATTAACATTAAGTCATTTAGCTGAGTTAAAAAAGCAAGAAATCCAGTGGCAAACATTTTTTCTTTCATTAGAATGACTAAAAAATATATGACTATGAGACATATACTTATACATATAATGTATTTTTATATATTATTTATATTATAACAACAAGTAAATTTTATACTTTTAGATGTCAATAAAAAATCTTCATCGACTTCTTTTATGTGTATCAAATTGTCTTATATTTTTTGCCTGTTTGCATGATTTGTTTATTGTCAAATATCGTTCTGATATACATTTAATATCTCGTTGGATATTATTATTGATATTAATATTCTATATAATACTTTTTTTTTTAACACGTTTATTACCAAATTTATTTTCTAATATATTTATATTTTTAACATCATTTCTTTTATCATTATGTTTATCATTATCAACATTTACATTAATAACAAATACAATAGCATCAACAACAAACTTTGTTTTATTTAATTTTTTATTAATTCTATCAATAATATGTTCATTTATATCAAACTTAATACGTTTATTAAATAATACCACATTTTATTTTATACATTATAATGAATTAGCTGAATTAATTGGTTTTAGTTGTGGTTTATATATAACATCACAATCAATATCACTTTATTATTTAATATTATCATTATTTCTCTTAATAATAACATTACGTTTACGTGCATTTCATGCATTTATACTTTTGTTATTTACTTTAAGTTATTTTTATCATTATTATACACCATACTCTTATATAGCATGTTTTTGTTTTCTTGTACGTTTAATTGGAAGACCAACCATTGAACTTTATTTTATTTCTTTAACATCACTTGAACGTTGGATTTTATTATTACATTTATCAAGTTCATATCGAACATTATTTCAACGTTTTATAATATTGCTTTATTGTATACTACCATTTCATGATATTTATATTATTGGACAAACAGTACGTTTGCATGATGAATGGTTTATTATTGTACCAGTATTTATAATAAGTGTAGGAATATGGTTTCTATTTCGTTTGTTAACATGTAGTTTACTTTGGATGTTATCAAATAAATTAATTGATTGTTATTTAACTATGATTCAACCAAACAGTGATGATGAATATCATAAAATATCATTCACTAAATTAATGGCATCAAGAGGTATATTTACAATTTTTATTTCAAGCAGTTCTCTCCGACCTCCCTAAAAAAAATCGATCTTGGATCAGGTACATTCAAATCGTATGAGTTTCTCAGAAAATGTTAGAGATGTAGTAGAGATGCTATGATAAAATTTTCAGTCCAATATCATGACGTTTTCGGAAAATATTTAACAAACAAGCGTAAAAAATAGCTCATCTGACAATCCGAAATTCTCTGTGGTCCTTCATTCTATTTGACCCAATTTTTGTTTGTTCGAAAGAGCATATCAGGATGTAAAATATGACAGAGCTCTTGTTTTTCAATTCTTACTTTTTAAGCAGCGAACAGGGATGAAAAGTTCAATGTCTCGAAAAATGGCGCTCTAATTATAATAGTACTCTTGTATATAATTGTAACAAAGCTTAATTTAAAAAACAAGACTCAGTCATACCCGGCATCTTGACATACTTTTTCAAACAAAAAGAACGTTAAACATATAGAATGAAGTACCACAGAGAATTCTGGATTGCGCAATCAAAAAAGCATATTTTTCAAGCAGCAGGTAACAAAAATCATCAAAAATTTTGACAAAAAAAAAACAAACTAGGTACCAAATAAAAAAAAAAGCTCTTGTCGTTTATGAAAGATCAGACGTCGACTTATCTTTCGATACATTTATCTAGGTTTCGATTTTTTTGACGAATATCGACCTTGTTTTCTGAGAGAAACGATCTGAAAAAAATTGAGATTTATTTAATTTATTATGATAAAGGTATGCGATATTTTGGTCTTATTGCTTGGCCAATTCTTGTATGTTCAACATTATTAACATGTTTCATTGGTATATTACACTATGACACATGTACAGCTTATTCTCTTGCATTATTACTTTTAACAATGCATTTTGAATGTTTGATTTTGGCACTGGTGAAACAGATTACATCGATTGTTGGTGGATCATGTATTGCTTATGCATTAGTTGCACCAGCATTTGAGTAAGTGGGCTTTCTTATCTTTTACAGTTAGAAAATGACTATTGTCACTTGAAGTTCGAAATTTTGACAAATGCAATATAATACGACACATAGGAACATTGCATTAAAGTGAAAGTGATATTTCTGGCCCAAAAAAACTTGAGGTTTCGATCAAATTTGAGAATATCGTCTAAAATAATGTATAATTAAATAAGTATCAGAAATGCATTCATTGGAACTTGAATGATTTTATCGTTTGGACTGTAATGATTTCCGTTGCACCAAACATGGCAAAAGTTGTATTTTATTCAGTTATTTTTATACATAGGCATTTATTGTCAAAGAGAGCTCCACTCGTTTTTGTTCGATCGTCAAGGGCACATGCTGACCAGAGACGATCCCTTATATATATACCTATGGAATGTTTCTAATATGTGAGGAATTGTATTTCTAGAAAAAAAAGTTAAACGATTTTGAACTGATAAACCCTCTTTTTCATTAGATATAAATATATTCTTACATTTGTCAAGTAAATAGTTGTTACATTTGATCATGGATAGTTCAGTAGTTTTTAACATTCAAAGACTATTTTGTTTCTTCATGTAATTTATACGATAAAACAAGGTCTCCTAAACTCATTCAATCGAAGAAGCTATTAAAAAAATACTTGATTTCATGATCGTCTCAATAGTTCAAAAATGTTTTATATACCTTTATGATGTTAGTCTTTTGTCCTCTGTTTACTACAAACACAACACAAAAATGCAACAACTCATTTTGATGTCCTGTTCATGGTCATCAAGTTCTATGTTTGAATAATAAAAAAGTAGTTGGCCTCTAAAAAATACAAAAATTAATAAACTATATAAAAGTTAATGCGACAATGGTTTTCTTTTACATGGCTATATTTATAGATATTCATCACCAGTGAAAAATAAATCGTGTTAATTTGGATTCTCTTGAGTTTTTTCTTGAAATCAGATTTCCTGTCTATGGACATGATATCAATGAACACAGTATGGAAAAGTCAAAGAATTGAAAATTTTATTTTATCGAACTGTTAATTATTGTTGACTTTTAAAAGAATCATACTGAGGAATCTATTGATTTATAGACCGAGGCATTGGGAATCGAACGCACCAATTGTCACAGAAATTGCTTTAAGGTATAGTTTCTTTCTGTCAGAAATCACTTGGTTTCTTGTTTCGAGCTTCGTCTAATCAGCTCCAATATATTTAACACATTTTAATCTCATGCGAATTATTCTGAAAGAGTTTGAATTTACATCTTGTCATTAAAACAGTAACAATAAATATATATACAATAACTTTTTCTCATTGTTTTCTTAGAACTCGTGATAATGGTTTATTTTCCAGCAGGTAAATATAACTCTTTTGTTTTTGAAAAATTTTCTTTTTTCTATCGAAATATTAGTAGTAGAAATGTTCAAATTCTTTCTCAACAAGAAGCTTATGATAGTAGTCAACGCTGTACAAATATACTCAATGGTCTTGAACGTTTTATGGCTAATAATTTAATTGATATATTTGGTTGTGATTATTCATCATCTGGTATAACCATGAGTTTTATTGATACAAAATTAAAAACATTTTTTGCACGTCGTACTAATGATGGTCGACATTATGATACATATTTTTTTTACTTTTCCGGCCCAACATGTGATAATGGTGATATAATTTTATCTGGTAACGATATTAGCTTGATTTTACTTTACAAAAAAAAAATAATACAAATTTATTTATTTATTTTTTGTTTTGAATAGATAATCAAAAAATAACCTTGAATCTTCTTTTTCAATGGTGGTGTGAAAATGAATCTTCATTAACATCAAGACTTATTCTCGTGTTTGATACATTTAATTCACATAAATGGTTAAAACAAATACGTTGTCAAACATTTAATAATTCATGTAAACCAAGTGTTTTTGTTATTTTACAAACATTTAATCGACAAAAGAAAATACCAAAATTAATTGAATTAGGTCAAGCATATTTAGGTATATTTACAGAAATATGGCTTAAATTAAATATGGCTGATGAAACATCAAAAACAAGTCATGATTCGAATGCATCATGGCGTGCAAATCATCTTGAACCAAAATGTTCATTTTCATATTATTATCCTGAATTTAATTTTCGTCAACCATCAAATGCTGATGTTGATATTTATTTAAATGAACATTCATTTTTAAAACGACTTCATTTTATTTATCATCTTTTAACATACATTCCATCATTGTTTATTTATCCATTTTTATACATGTTTAATTGTATAAAACGATGGCGATTTCATTTATTAGCACCGCGCGTTATTGATACTTATCATGGTTTTAAATTATTTGTTCGGTGATTTTAATAATTTGATTTGTCCTTCGTTTTCATTTTTTTCAATTAAGAATCTATAAACAATGACGAATCTCGAATTTAGAAGATTTGGTTTTTAATAATAGATGTTTGTGTGTCTGTTTTTTTGTTTTTGTAGATAATTCTTTTTTCATCCTTATTATATTTCATTCTGTACATGTCAATATCCATTGGTTAATGTTTTTATGAATGCGTCTTGTGCATTACAACATTTTTGTGACATACATGGTCCACAAATATTATTGTGTACAGAAGCTAGAACATATGTTCAAGATTCAAATGATAATGATGATGAAGACTTGAAAACATTTTACTCACAATATATTAAATCAGAAAATCCACAAGGAAAAGTTGAATGCAAGGTAAAGAATAAAGTTTTACTAAAATGTTTTTTTTCTCTAAAATTAATAATAAAATTTCATTTAGTCATGTACATTATCATCTGATAATGTTCTTGTTTCATCTATTGATTCTCTAAATCATATGTTATATATTTCATCATCGTCAACACCTAATCAAGAATTATTTAAAGATGTACGAAATGCATGCGTACGAAGTTTAAATGTTGAAGTATGTTATTATATTGATTGTTTTTCTAAAAAAAAAAGTTTGTCGTGTTTTCTTATTCGTACAGGAAAACTATTTATTTCAAATCCTAAGACTATTAGATAATTTTCGATAGCTAGAAGGAGAAAAGTTAATCCTTAATATTAAAATAAAGATAATGAAAAGAGTNAAATTTTGATCTATTGAGGGTTCATATACTGGTTATAATCTTTGAGAAATATATATGATACTCATAGAATTTGTACTCTCCCTAACATGTTCTAAAATAAGCTTATTTGTTTTGTTTTTGAACTCAATTCGATAAAATTGAAGGTACTTTTCAAATTTCTATAATCAAAAGTTTTTATAATTGCTTTCTTCATGATTAACAATGGCCATTTGTCATAGGCTTAGGTTATTTGTTGGCTATATAGCATTTTCGTGTGTTCATCCTGTGTCATTGAACAAGCGAAAATCATTGTGAAACTTTCTCAAAAACTGCAAACTATCGAGGTCTATATGTTTCATAAATATGACCTTTCGAAATATCAGGAACTCATTATCAACTTGCAAGAGTATCTCCTAGAATAGCCTATTTTGCTAGATAAATGTCCCAATATATTGATGATATTTTAACAATACTCAACGGTCCTATGATAAATTTTATTTACCAATTATCAAGACAGCATCTCTGATAAACTGATGCAAAGAACTCTTTATAAACAGGAAAAAAATTTGGCCTCCAGACCCTGGAGAGGGATAAAGGTATGGGATTTCAGGGAGGAGAAAATAAATTTTTCTATGCCTCTGTACTGTCCTACAGGAGTCCAGAAGCCAAAAAATGTCTTTCTTTTTATAAAGAGTTCTTTGCATCAGTTTATCAGAGATGCTGTCTTGATAATTGGTACATAAAATTTATCACAGAACCGTTGAGTATTGTTAAAATATTATCAATATATTGGGACATTTATATAGCAAAATAGGCTATTCTAGGAGATACTCTTGAAAGTTGACAATGAGCTCCTGATGTTTCGAAAGGACTTATTTATGAAACATACAGACCTCGATAGTTTGCAATTTTTGAGAAAGTTTCACAATGGTTCTCGCTTGTTCAATGGCACAGGATGAGCACACGAAAATGCTATATAGCCAACAAATAGCCTAAGCCTATGACAAATGGCCATTGTTATTCATGAAGAAAGCAATTATAAAAACTTTTGATTATAGAAATTTGAAAAGTACCTTCAATTTTATCGAATTGAGTTCAAAAACAAAACAAATAAGCTTATTTTAGAACATGTTAGGGAGAGTACAAATTCTATGAGTAGCATATATATTTCTCAAAGATTATAACCAGTATATGAACCCTCAATAGATCAAAATTTGAGGAAAACTTGATTCCTCATATATTATTCGATACAATGCAAATTTCTCTAGAAGACAACCTATTATGGTATCTCAATTCAAGATAGATTACCAAATAAGACGATATTCTTTATTTAAATAAAAAATTTATTTTTTAGTACCAACTTATGTTAAAACAGTTACTAATTTATCCACAGATACTAGTTTAGATGAAGAAGCATTTGAATCTATGATTACACATTATAAGATGAAATATTTAAAGTAAGAAATTTTACATATTTATTAAATTGATTAATGTCATAGTTTATTTTGTTTTATTTTTAAGTAAAGCAAAACTTTATTTTCAACTTGGTCGTTGTCAAACGGCAACAACAGTATCATCTAATGATCGTCGACAAATGGCAATATTTAATGTTGAAAATACAAGTGATTTAGCATTAATACGTTTCTGGCAAAAAGGACTTTCGCAAGCCTATAGAACACAAATACGTATACTTAAGCAAGATGATAATCAACGAAAAAAAAAGGACAAATCATAATATAAGATATATCTGATTAATCATCTATTGAACAGTACGATTTCGAACCGGTGGTGCAATGTGTATGTGCGCGTGCGTTTGTGTTTTGTTTTATGAGTAATTGTGTCAAAGATATCATGTATATATGGTTTACTTTTTTGTTCTGTCATTTATGCACGCATATTGTACATTCGATATTTTGCTCAATCATTGGTTTTTTTTTCTTTCTCTATTCGATAGAACGAATGAGATTGAAATTTATTTTGTACAGTGTGTGTTAATCAGTTGATTCGACCTTTTGTTTTCTTTTCTTTTTTTTCTGTTTCTTTTCATTATATCTCTTGTTAATATGTTTGGCAAGAATTTATAAACAAGAAACTTCAAATCATTAGTCGATTGATGGTTTTCTTTTTTGTTTGATGTGGCTTTTTGTTTTCTAGATAAATGCCATCAAGATAGTCGACAGTTGTAACAATGACTGGAACACCTAAGAAAGTATGTGTTAGAAGAAAATTTCAAGTCTTATATTACGATTGTTATTAGTATGAATATAAAACAATAAATGAATTGTATAATTTAATTCAACCAAGCGGTGCTAAATGGTGTCTATATGGTGTAATCAAATTTCGCCGTGAAGTCAATGTTAATTGTATGGTATTAGGCATATGTGATCCGACATCATATGGTAAAGGTATATAAAAGACATAAACATAAAAGAATGACATTCTTTTATGTAATTAATAATTCTTTTTTTTAGGCCCAAAAGGTGCCAGTTGTCTTCTGTATCGTGAATCGTATGCTGGTACGATTGAACTTCCAGTTCAGATTGAAGTTGGACAACTAATTCGACTACATCGGATGAAAGTGAGTAATTCTAAACAAAGAATATCTATCATCTTTTTTCATCCATTAGATAACTACTTATAGACCTGAAAGTGGTTGTGTACAATTAAAATCTTCTAATTATTATAGTTGGTATGTGCATTTTGATTTGCATTATACATTAAATAAGATTTGAATTTTATTCGCAGGCTTATATTTGATGGTAAAGATGATACAAGTCATGAACCGATTGCACAAAGCAGCTTTTCATACTCATTTAGCAATGATGATCGTCATAGAGTGAGTTTTTATTTGAAAGAATATAGTTTAGAATGATTTCAGCGATAAAATTATTGTTTAGATTGATGAGTTACGTGCATGGTTATTATCATTTGGTGACGATGAAGCCTTACATAATGAACTTGATTTTCAATTTGTTTTACCAGAACCGAAATCATTTAATGATCAATCAACTCAAACGAATGAAAATGAGACAAATGATAACATTGCCACTACTATTGTTGCTATCAAAGATCTTGGTGGATCTTCGGAATTCTTTTCAGCTTCAGATGAAGATGAATCACCAAGGAAACGACTACACTCTGACTAAAATTAAGCATTTTCGTTTTTTTGTGTTTGTACAAGTGTCTTTTTTTTCTGTTATTTATTTCATTTATGTTAAACTGTGTCAGATTTTCGAGTTTTTATTTATTGTATAAGTGTTCATTATCGAACCGATAAGTATGATATACTTTGAAGAAGTTTTGTTTGCTGTTCATAAAATTTGTATTATTATGCGATAAACACATTAAAAATCAGCAGCATTAAGTCAATTTTTTGTTCTTAAAATTGCTGAAAAATTGGGCTGCCATCAAATTTTGTCATATGTACAAGATTAATTCTACGAATATTTTTCATTTAAAACGTATGCATAAATTAACAAAGATTAATTGAATGGAAACTATCTTTTTAAATAAATGCTCCATGAAATAGAATAGGATGAAATAATTCCATCACATTTGAAGGTCTAAAAGAAAAATAATCACGCATATTTATTTCTGCTAGTGTTGATCAACCAGTATTATTAAAGTCATAATATCTAAAATTGTAGTGTTTGCATCCTGACAGAAAATAACTATAATGATAAAAAAAGGAAAATGTTATTGACATAAATATTTATCACAAAGACACAGTCCAATCCAACGAAATCGAATTATAATAATCAACACAACATCTATGCTAGCCGAACTCCAACAAAAAAATTAACTTCGAATTGAAATAGATACTAATCAACAGTACAAAATATTTGTTGGTGAAGCTATAGTTGAGCCTTCGACGGATAATCCAAAACGTTTGAGCATCTCAATAATAGAAATCACAATATTTGAGTTTCAATAACATGTCATCGTAAAAAATATTATATTTAGAAAGTAAAAAAAAACCTTGAAATTAAATAAAACTCTCGCTTCTTTAAAATTTTCTTTTTTCTTCTTTATACACATTTGAAAATTACTGATCATAAAACTGGTGTTAATTAAATATTCATCTTTTAGCAGTCATGCATTAAATCGGAGCTATGTTTTATCAACGATTGCATAGGCTTATTCTAAAAGTGAGTGCAGTGAAGAAAAATAAACATTGGCTTGTATGATTTTTAAATATATGTATTTTCGAAAGTTCCATAAAAAAGAGATCCTGCCAATGTGAAACTATTGCTGTAAGTCAAAATATACCTACGTAGTATAGCTAACGAGGTAAATTCTCCAACTGTTTAATTACATTTATCATTGACTATTAATCAATCGCCAAGTTTAACTGATTCATTAAATATTCTTGGATGACCTAGGTTCCAACTTCTTCTGAGTAGAGATATGCATATGTCACTATATCCAATGTTCGATTTCTTAACTATCATAATAAATACTATATTTCCACTAAATAGGTTTAGTCGAGCCTTAAATAGCTCTTTCAGTAAAGATCGATTCATCGTTAAAGTTTGAGATAATAAGTAACACTAAATACCTATCAATAGGCATGAATTAATACTCGTCCAAGACTTATTTAGGGGAAATATAAAAATTATATTATCGAAGTTAAGAGCTCAGATATTGGATTCAGTGACATATGCGTATCTCTACTTAGAAGAGGTCGGAAGCAAGATGATTCTACAGTATTTAATAAATCAGTAAGATTTATCGGTTGAAAAAATAGTCGAGATAAAAATGTGTGAACAATTGGAGAAGCTCCTTGGTGCAATTAGATAGAGCATAAGCAAATTTTTTTGGAATAATTTGATTTTAGTTTTACTGTTGAAAATCGATGAATTCCTACGCTTTTCAGTTGATTTCATATGCCATATTTCGCAATATTTGACTTGGTCTGATAAGTGGATCTTAGCAGATCAGACTAAGATATTTTTGATATTATTCGATATAGAATACGAGTGTCAGATTTCGACGAAAACCTGTTTTATTCGCTTTTTTTCCAAGAGAAAAATGCAGACGATTCTAACAATATGCGATATTCAAAAATAATACATTCTTAGCGTAAAAATAAAAACAAAAACAAAAATAAAAAATGACTCGTTTGTAGTACCATAATAAATTGTGCTTACAACACTATAACATCAGCTACAAGATCCTATGCCGTTTCATTGTAGCCATCAATATTTTGAAATATTACGTACCATCGATCAGATGCTGCCATCAGAGGATCTGGTTGTATACATGTATTGTTAGAAAATAAAAACAGCAAATATTTGAAATAAACAAGAACCAACAGAGCAACAACTGAGATGTTAGCAAGAAACGAAGGCATTGGGAGAAAATCCTTTTTTCTAACAGACTACACCAACTTATGGGAACCCATGGATTAGTTTGAAAACAACGTAATCCAATCCGTGAATCCATGCATCTATTATCTAGTAGATGCTCTATCTTTGCTCGACCGTTTGGTTATGAATCGGATGCGGAGTGTCACTCACTACTTGAGAAAAATCAAGCCAATGGCATCCCTGGTTTAAACTACAATTATCTGGTATAGACGTTTTCCACGATGATTTTACTTGTTCAGTTATACACAGTACTCCCTATTCTGAAAGCCAAATTCATCCATCTGCTACTCAATAACCACAACCAATATCTTCGCAATGTTCCGCTTGACTAAACCAAGTCCACAGATATTCCCAACGAAATCGAAAGTAGATTTCATCATTTGAAATCACGTTCAGTCAAAAACGTTTGTTAGTAGGAATACTTACTGTGAATTTTACTAACGCTGTGTTGACTGAAAATGAGAAGAAAATAATGTACTTCTGTTTCAAATTAGATCAAAAGAAAACAATAAAGAGACAAGGGATCAAGAAACAAAGTACCTGAACAAACAGCACAATCGAAATTATTTTAGAATATCCCTGCGAAACAAGCATGAACGTGGGTGAAGAGAAGCAACGAACATCCACAAACACTTGCATCCACATTCACAGGTTGATGTCCAACATCAATAAAGTCAGTTTATAAGTGGTTCATGTCCTCAAAAGAGATTAAAATTGCATTCGTATTTCTAGTACAGTATAGACAACACTTTGTGTTGCTCGATCATCGGTTTCATTCCAGCGGAGGTGCTATGTGACTAGTGTTTGCTTTGAACAAGGATTGAGTAATAGAGAGAAAAAGTATGGAAATTACTTGGTTTGTCCCAGAGTTTTAGCAAAGTTTTGTGCTCCTTCACCACAGATTTTATTCCAACAGTAATTCAATGTGGTTAGTGCCTGTTTTGAAAAACCAGTGAATGATAGATAGAGAAGGTAAGGATATTACTTGACTTTGTTGGATAACTATGGCAAGATGTTGCACTCCTTGATGACTGATTTCATTACAAGTAAGGTTCCATGTGATTAGTGTCTGTTTTGAACTGGTAGTGAATAATAGATAAACAAGTTGAGGATATTACATGGTTTTTTTTCAAGAGCATTAGCAAGATATTGTCAGAGGTGCAGAATCTACCCGTGTGCGCGTACGGTCGTGTGGGGAAAATTTTCGATCCATAGGAGAATTTTGGGGAAATAGCTGGGAGAAGACACCATCGTGCGGGGAAATTTTTTAAAATCACGGTAGATTCTGCATCTCTGGATATTATATTCCTTCATCACCGGTTTGAGTGTTGCTGAGATCCAGTATGGTTAGTGTCTGTTTTGAGAA